TCTATCAAAAATACTAAAACACATTCTAAAAATTTGATTAATTTTCTATGGGAACATGCATTCACTAATAACCTATAGTTAAAAAATCAGGGCCTAAATCATTCCCTAAGTCCTCCAAATAAAATTCTAAACTTCAAGGTATCATACCTAAACCCTAAAAGGGAGCTCCTAAAGTTCTAGTCCTAAAACAGCACCTAACTTCATCACAAAAATGTGAGAAAAATCTAAGGGGAGCATACATATCTAGCCTAATCACAAGCCAAAAATCAAGCACAAACTCAATACCAAATGCTCAAACAAAATTCACCAAACATAGGTATCAACCATTGTGATTTTATTATCAAATAAAATGTAAAAAATGCAAGTAAAAGAAAAATGCATGATTTTCCTAATGTTTTTATTCCATAAAATTCTAGATTCAATCATGAATCAGGGGGGAAAAAACTAGGAATTAATTGACTAGTTCTCCTATTTTTGGTGAATTAATTCTAAACTAATATGAAATGATGAAAATAAAAGAAAACAATAGAAATTAATAAAACTAGTGTGGCAAATAGTAATCCAGATCAGTTCATTTCAAAGGATGGGCCAAAGTGGGGGTGTGGGTAGCAGTTTGAGTCTTAAGCCCAATGCTTCAACTTAAATGAAACAGTGCGTATAAGCTGCAAGTCAATCTTCAGACTTTTCAAGCAATCGTGGTCGTGGATTCATGGACTTGGTCAAGGGTCAAAACACCATCCAACGCCTCATGTGCTTCGTCCCCAATTTGAATTCAGATGGAGGGAGAGTTCAGACGGTGGCCTGAGCAGTGGCACCACCGTCTTCTCCGGTGAGGTCCTTCACGCAGGTCAGCCAAAATCACAAAACCATACATCAATCTCCTCAGTTTCTCACACGGATCATAAATCTCCATTCAAAATTGCCTAACTCTCTCTCTAATCCAAAACACGATAACAATTTCAGAATATGGCCAAATCTTGATCATCACCATTCTTCAAACTAATGGTACCAATTCAATCTACACATCACAGTGATCAATCTATGCTATCTAACCTTGATTATCTCTCCAAGAATCTCTAGAATTCAGCCTCAACAGAAAATGATCAACACCTTAGTTTGTCTCTATTCCATGATTTCTTGGTCTAGAATCCAACTACACATTGCAAGGATCCTAACCACCTATTGATTTCTATCTATCTCCTCCTAAATTATGCACAAGGATGAAAGTTACCAACCTGAGTTCAGAGGTGTAACAGAAGCACTTCTTGCTCGATTCAACCTTCAAGATGATGCAGATTCAATCTAAATCACCTTCTGAAGCTAATGCCACCTTCAATTTGCCTTGATTCCTCCTTGAACTCAGAACACGATCTTCACTTGCAACTCTGAATTTTCAATTGCTCTTTCTGCTACCAGCTTCAAACTCCTCCAAAAAAAATGGCTGAACACACTCAGTGGTTTATATAGAACTTGATGGAATCATCCAGAAGTTTCTCAAAGCTTTAGAATGAGATTTTAGAATTTCAAATTCTCACCAAAATCTCATTCATGGCATTCACGGTTTCCTCTCTGTTTTGGCTTCAGCTAGCTTACATTCAACTTCTCATGAGATATTGAACATGACTAGTGGTGATTCTCCCCTTGTTTCAATCCAATGGCTCATGTATGTTATGTTACTTCATCATGAAGCAATGAGATAAAAGTCCATGAAATTGAACTCAAATCAAAAATCTAATATTGCCAATGTTTCTAAAATGTATTTTCCATTCAAAAAATGTTATTATTTTGCCTCATTTGCACACATAATCCATTGATTGAAGCTCTTGCGATGGCTCGTGATAACACATAATCCATGTAGAGGACCCCAAGATGTATATTGAGATTTAGAATCATGTTTTACCCAAGGAACTAACGACATGTGCATTTTGAACCAAAACCCTAATCCAATTGTCCACAAGATAGGAGAGGGTGATTAATGCTTGAATCCTTGATTCAAGTGGTTGTGAGACATGTCTTGATGATAAAGGAACCTTATGACTTGAGATTTCTACAAAGTTAAAAATGAACCCTTGCTTGAGCTTTGAAGATGAATCTCTTCTCTTGAGTGTTGGACCAAATACTTTGATTCCTCATCTAGAACCAATGTTATGCACTAATGTTGATGCAAAGTGATATGAAACATAAGCCAAGATATATGAAAAAATATGGGCAAATTTTTGGGTTCTACAGCTGCCCCTATTCAAACAACTTGGACCTGAAGGGATGAAAAATGATTGCTTTCAAACATTCAAGGTAAAAGGTGATTGAATACTAAAAGAACCTAAAAAATTTCAATTTGCGGGGATGTACATATTGAAGTGGTTACCAACCGAAGGTGAACTTAAAGGTAGCGGATACCAACCAAAAGTTGGGATAACCGAATGATAAAAAATACCAGCCAAAAGTTTGGATGGTAAATGGAAACTGATCAAGAAGATAATAATGGCTACTAACCAAAAGTTAGGGTCACCAGAGAGAATAATAACCAAAAATTATGAGAAACAGGCTATTAACCAAAAGTTAGGATCACCCAGATGCCGACCGAAGGCGAATACACAAACAATGAAGACTACCAACCAAAAGTTGGGATCTTCAATGGGAAATACCAACCAAAAGTTAGAATGAAAGGATACTAACCAAAATTTAGGATCGTCGGAACGCCGACCAAAGGAGAACACACAAAAAATAAAGACTACCAACCAAGAGTTGGGATCATCCACACAGAAATAAAGATTACCAACCAAAAGTTGGGATGAGAGGCTACTAACCAAGAGTTAAGATCGCCGGAACACTAACCGAAGGCGAACACACAAAAATTGGAGACTACCAACCAAAAGTTGGGATCATCAACAAAAATTACCAACCAAAAATTGGGATTACTGGAAAGGGAGACTATCAACCAAAAGTTGGAATCGTCAACAAAGCTATACCAACCAAAAGTTGGAATCGTCAACAAAGCTATACCAACCAAAAGTTAGAATCACGTAAAGGATACCAACCAAAAGTTGGAATCACCGGAACACCGACCGAAGATGAACTTACCACAACGAGGACTACCAATCAAAAGTTGGGATAACGACTCCGCAGGAGAAACAAGAGAGGACTATCAACTAAAATTTGGGATAACATCCTAGAAAAGCAACAGACTACCAACCAAAAGTTGGGATAACATCCGAGAAACAACGGACTACCAACCAAAAGTTGGGATAACATTCAAGAAACAACAGACTACCAACCAAAAGTTAGGATAACATCCAACAAAAGATACCAACCAAAAGTTGGGATAAACTGCGTATACATGAAATAGAATCAAACGACTTACGACCTGAAAAGAAAACTCCGCTGAAAAAGAGAGGTTTAAACAAACAAACTCTGTCAGAGAGTAAAAGTAAGGTGGTTTTAGTACCCGAGTTGTTCTTAAATTATAATAGTTGTTTAACATTTATTTAGCTTTTTTGGAGGTTTTCTATTGCAAATAGTCATAGTGCAATTTTAAGAGTGGTGTTTGTTTTGGAGTTGTTCTTAAATTATAATAGTTGTTTAACATTTATTTAGCTTTTTTGGAGGTTTTCTATTGCAAATAGTCATAGTGCAATTTTAAGAGTGGTGTTTGTTTTGTTGAGGTTTGTTAGTGTTTGTCAATTTCATTATTATTGGAGGAGTTTTAGAGTAATTGGTGATTTTTTGTTTTCTGTTAGTTCTTTTTTTTGTTGTTCTGTTTTTTTATTAGCACTTTTGTTTCTTATTGTAACAGATAGCACTTCTTGTACTTTAATTAAATTTGGCTTTTTTAATAAAAAAATAGATGTGTTTTTACATCTTTGAAGTGAAATTTTTAACAAAATCTTAGTTAAAATGAAGTGTCCCACGGGTTGAGTACCCAAGGGAAGTAAAGTAGAATTCTATTACTCCCTTTATTCCAAATTATATAGTAGAATTCTATTACTCCCTTCATTCCAAATTATTAATCATTTTGAAAAGAAAAAACTTTTCAAATTATAAATCAACATTTTTCTCAAAAAATCCTCTATTATTTATTATTTTTTATGAATATTAATCCTAATTACTCTCTTTTGTCCAACTTTAAAGAGATATTTGTTTTTTAAATACATTAAATTGAATAATTAATGTAGACTCTCCTGTAATTTCTCTTCTCCATATTAAAATAACCATATTTCTAATAATCTAAATTTTCAAAACTTCATATAAATTGATACAGAAGGAATACCGGCTATACTTGTTAGGGTAGGGTAGGGGAGGGGGCACAAGTTTTCCACATGCGACAACACCCCATTTGAACTGCCATACCTGGTTAGAAATGTATTATCATTAATACATCTCAGCATAAAAAGTGTTTTCATCCCTACCAGACCGCGAAATACCTTATTATATCTATCAAAGATTCATGTATTGTATGGGATAAAAAGAAAAGGAACTATATCATATCATGGTAGTGGGATTTATATTAGTGGAAATCATATTAACATTTGTAGTGCAACCAATTAGATGCTATGATAAGAATTATAATTTAGATGAGTGAAAGAGGAAACTCTCACTTAGAACAGCTTATATCAACAACCACCAACCACTAACTTTCCTTAGGTTGATTGCAGAGTTAAATTAGCTATAAGAGCATTCTGAATTATGCAAAGCTATATTTAAGTACTGATATAATCAAGCACTTTATTTAATACCACGATTTTTTAACACAATATTAACACTAATGACCATCAAACAGTTACACTTTGACAAGAGAGAATTGACAGTTCCTCGCACTTCCACAAGGGAAAAACATACAAATCCCTCGTCTTTTACTAGCCACCAAGACAACATAGTCTTTTACTAGCCACCAAGACAACATAGTCTTTTACTAGCCACCAAGACAACATAGACGCATTTTTATATAAAAGTCATGATTCATATAATATGATATAGTGTATCAACATGCCATCCCCTAAAGTTTAGGGTTTAAGATGAGGAAAACAGGTGAAGAGATCAGATTTAGGGTGTCTGGCCTCAGCATGCTCCTTGCACTTCACTTCTGATGTGGTACAGATAAATGTCTGCATGCACACCTTGCACTGCAATCATCAATCACAACATTATAATCAGTAAAGGCTGCCATTAAATGCAGAAACTACAGCAATGCAGCGAGTGAATAAACTCTCCAAGACCATTGAGGTGATAAATTTTATCATCGATAACTGAGACGTCCAAATGAGCATAAATTTGGATAGCTCAGTGATTGAACAGCATTCATAACGAGACATCCAAGTGAGCATGAATTTGGATAACTCTGACGGAACAACATTTATGAAGTGTATATTTCAACAATCTGACTGGAACACAACTTTTATAAGGCGTATTAAAGAAAAATCCATGGGCTAAAACTACTTACTATGCAATATACACAATGAATATATAAAAACATTTAAGACCTCAATAGAGAACTCCTCAAACCAACCACGTCTAGAAACACTTATACATCCATGTCAAATAAAGAGCCTGTCATTTAAGAGTATGTTCTGATTAAAAAATTCAATGTGACTGTTAGGGAAAAAGAATAGTGAATACTTATGTAAGGATGTAAGACATCAATGTGAACTGAGTTTAGAAATTTTACCAAGTTATATTTTTGGAAACTGTTCAAAATACTGCAACCAAAGAAGTCTGAACTCCTTTAAAAAAAGAGTTCTATCCATAACAAAAAACACAAAAATTTACATGTATGTGCTTCTTATACTTCATGTCCAGATTGTTAAGTTCAGAGGCTTTTGTCCGAGAAACTTTAGTTCCAAATTAATAATCATAGATAATATTCAATTTAGTACTTAACTAGAGGTTAACAAATGACCAAATGACCATATTTTCCATCATATTTCTGCTCAACCCTCAATTTATTCCAACTTGTTTGTTTCAGATAAAACAATAATTGATTTCCTCCCCACACATTCTCTCCCAACTCAACTCCATAAACATAAAGAATTTATGCATGTGCTGCACATCTGAAATACCTCAGTGAAAGTGTCAATATGACAAATATCCATGGAATCAACAGGATTCACCAATTCTCAATAATAGAACTAGACTTTTACATCCATAGTTCCAAACAGGAGAATCGTAAATGCAAAATATACAACAACAACAACAAACGACAACAAAGCCTTATTCTTAGTGTGGAAAATATATAACACAGATGATAAAAAAACATCCTCGAGCCCAAAAATGAAGGGGATCAGAACACAAAACAGAGAAACCCTATTGTAGCCATAAAAAAAATTGGTGAAACCAACAGTTGAATCTCCATTACCAAGAAAAACATCAATTAAACACTATGAGTATGTTAAACCACATATACAGCAGATTAATAAAGCAATCTTCTTCGATCAAAATCTTTTTTAATAAAGATCTATGAAGCAGTCATATTTAGAAGAAAAAATTCTCAGAAATCTTGAATAAAAACCGGATTTATACCTGGATCGACATGGCTTTTTTGTTTGTTTCAAGCTGGCTTCCTGCACATACGAAAAGTTTCTCAAATCAACAACAATACCACCAGATCTACCATATCAGCTACGATTGATCACAATTATTTGAGGAAATCGAAAGCATAAAACCCTAATTTCTAGAATTCATGTTAGAATAGTCGGAAGAGAGAGATTACCTTTGCCGCCCTTCTGCTTCTCGAGGTTCCTCTCGCGAGCCATCTTTGCCTTTTGGCCGTTGCCTCCTCCCATGGCTGATCGGTGGGACGAAACGAGAGACCCCTCAAAACCCTAATTTTCTTATCAAGGAAAAGTGATGTGAGCGGAAAAATAGAATAATGAATGAAAGATGGAGATGGCTTATATAAAGGGACTTTTCTTCATTAACTATAATTACAGTACGATTTTGTGTGCTTAATAAATCCCTCCACCGTCTCAAATTATAAATAGTTTTTTTCTTTTCATTTCTTATAAATTAAAAAATTATTTATATATATTTATGTGTTCCATTAGGGTCTGTTTGATTGGGAAATTTTGGAGGGGAGGGGAGAGAATATTTTAAAATAAATGTGTTTGGTTAAATTTTTTATAAGGGGAGGTAATCAAAATCCCTCGTGGAGCAATTTTTCGTTACCCGAATTGGGAGTTTTCGGAGGGAGAGGAGTTATGATAACATGACAAAATTATCCTCACTTTTATTTAATAAATTTTTTAATTGTCTTTATTAATATTATACCTTAATTTTTGTTACCTTATTATAATTCCTTCATTTGTTTAATGACAAATCCATTATTTTTATTATTATGATTCAACTTTTTTTTTTCATGTGTTTTATTCTATTTATTTTTATTTAATATTTTGCTTGTAATAACTTAATTATTTTATAATTTGTTGTATTGTATTACATATCAATATATAATTGTAGTATGAGTTATATACTATGTAGAATTTAATCTTATAAATATGTTATAGGATTAAATGGATCATCAAGATGAGAAAATGGTTCATATGATCATTGATCATATAATTTGATATAATTTGATTTTATGACGTTTATCAATATTTTATTTTCATTTTAAGATATTTTAGAGTATTTTAAATGTTAAATATTTTGTGTTTAATTATCTACGTTTTTTATGAATATTTTTTTAAAAAAAATTATTTAGCATGATTGTTATAATATTTTAAGGGTAAAAAAGTAAATTAGTTTTAAAACCTCTCCCCTCCCCCTGGGAACCAAACATATATTTGAATAAAACTTCTTTCTCCCCTCTCATCCCCCTCTTATGAACCAAACATATGTTTAATTAAAATACATCCCCTCACCTCCCCTCCCCCTCTTATGAACCAAACTTCTTGGCGGATGCTGAGTCTTATGTCTATAGACTAGATAACTTATCTCTGGAGGAAATTTCTATGAATAGTGAATTGGTAGCCTTCTTCGAATATTAGTGATATGCTGACCATGTTGTTCCTTGTGGAGCAGCACCAAGGAAAAAATCAATTCCCTCATAAACATGCTTGTTAGTGGAAGTTGCTTTGAAGAAGGACAAAAAGGTCGTCTTCGGTGAATAATACAGATAAGGTGAAGTGTTATAGCATGATGCCCTAGATAAAGAGGACGCATATGGTTGACCCCTTGCCTACCGTTATTGATGTTAGGCAGGCTTCTATAAGAATCTTGTGTACATTGTCCCATGTCAGTCCGTTCACGATTACCTTTTTTGTCTCGATTCAAGTGGAAGTTCAAGATTGTCTAGATTGAGTTGTGATATAAATAACTCAAAGTCAATCATCGATCATAATTGGAATGAGCTCTATTACAAGGTCGTTCTCGAGGTTACTCATGGGGAAGGGTCATATGTCCGTATCGGACTCTCGACCAATACTTAGGAAGGCTTTGGTCATGTTATTTGTACAACATTGAACAATGTTGCGTTGTCTCCTTTGCTTTTAGTCCGTCCTAGTCTACAGAGTGCTAAATTGTTTTGATCCTCTATTTTTTAGGAGGATTACACATATTTTTTGCAAGGATGGGGTTGTTTCTTCAAGAAGAGCCGACTAAACTAGCGTACCAGACTCGTCGAACTTTGGTTGTTTTGGCCTTTAGTATTGTCGGAAAGAGATATATTTTCTTGCCTAAGTGTCTTTGGAAGGAGAGATAAGTGTCTTAGGAATGTGTCAACGCTCTTACTATCGAGCGAGATTGGTATCTAAAAGAGCTTACCAAGACAACTGGATTATTGAGAGAGATGGAGATTAAAGTGTAGAATTTTGGATACTCTCACTTATTAGCTAAGAGGGTGCAATTTATTGTTCAAGAGATAAAGAAGATAGATGAAGCTCTATCATCTGCCTCACTAAAATGGTCCACAATTAAGGCCTCTCTTACAAAGGCGAATCAGGAATTAGAATATTTCCGTAAGAGGGTGGAGAATTTGGAGTTGTCTTTTAATGAGGTTTCCAAAAGTTGAAACAAAGTTGAAGAGAGACTTTGGGACACGCGCCATGAAAACCTTAAGCTATCAAAGAGTATGTGAAGTTTGTGGAAGAAACTTTTTCTATTCTTCAAGTTCTTTTTTAATTCCTTGAACCAAGTAGAATTTTTTACATCCCGCAGTGCATATATCTTGAGAGCAAGTCTATCTTTAATCAGGAGACGGTGGACGAGAAATCAGTCTTCATTTGATGCGAGTTAGCCTCATAGTTTTTTTTGTCCGAAAATAATCTATATGTTATAATATTTGTTGTGAATGAATTCAATAATTATTAATCCACCTCTTTTTTTGTGTTTTTTCTTCAACTTTTATTGTTCATTATTTTTTACTTTGCAGACCCTTCATTAAAAATTTTAATATAAATAATTTGTAAACTAAAATTAAATTAATATATACAAAATAAAGTAAATAAATATTTATCATGATCAATAAATAAAAAAATAGAAACTATTTGTGAAAATAATTCACATATTTAAATTAAAATTTTATTTTCATTTTAAAAATTCATGAATATCTTAAATTTTGTTAAGCACCAAAATCCATTAAATTTAAAATAACTAAATATAAAAAGTTAATGATAGGATAAGTCTTCACTATCTAATAAGTTTTCAACGTAAATGAAATATTCAACTTTCATTTATTGTTCTTTTAATTTCACACCTAACCATAATATCTATAGCATGTGTAAGGATGCTCACGTGGAAATCACGCGAAAATGTTAGTGGTATGTTATAGATGGTTACCATTGCCAAAGTTGATTTGATGACTATCTATTAGAGTGGCAATTGGATCCATTAAGATAAAATCCATCAAATTTATCCATCAAAAAATTCATTCAATCCATCTACCGCATAAAAAATAAGTTAATAGATTGGATTAAATATATTCATTTATATACATGGATATATTTGATCCATCCAACATATTTTAAGGATACAACGGATTATTTTTTTAAAAGTAGATTTTTTAAAAGAAAATAATTGATTTTTTTTCGAAAAAAACAAATCTTGTTTTTAAGAAAAAAATTGGTTTTTTTTCTGAAAAAAAATTAATTTTTTTCTGAAAAAAAAATGATTTTGTAAAAAAACGATTTTTTTCCGAAACAAAAAACCATTTTTTTTTATAAAAAAAAGTCGATATTTTTCAAAAATTAAAATATCAATTTCTTTTCTTGAAAATACAAAAAAATCAATTTTGTTATGAATATATTAAAAAAAAAATTTAATACAAAAAATAAATTTTTCGAAAATAAAATAAAATTGATTTTTAAAAATAAAAAAATGCATTTATTTTTTCGAAATAAAAAAAAAAGTTGGATGGATGGATATCCATCCATTAAAAATATGTTAATGGATGAATTTGATGTATTTTATTTTTTAATGGATGGATTGAATTGAATAATTTAAAAAAAAATAGTGGATTGTTAATGAACTAATAGATTGTTTTAATCCATCCATTAACAATCCAATCCATTTTCATCCAATCCATCCATTTTGCCACCCCTACTATCCATGTATTATAGTTTCTTTTCTTGGAAAAAAACAAGCAAACTCATGTTAAAGAATCAGACTCAAATTGATCCTCGCCATTAATGATCAAAAAATTCATATAGTGAATTTTAGAAGAAAAGATAAATATGTTGAGTATCACGATAAATTTCATACAACCTCATAAAGTTGTTAAGAGAATTTTATAATTAAAGTATCCTAACTAGTTAATATGAGAGTGCAATTGATTTTAGTATGGTAAAAATCACTTCTGCAGTTGAGAAATAAGAAAAATATTGTGAGCATAATCAGTAACTGATTCAGGGCGGCATCAGGCCGTACTCCGACTTCGCGAAAGTCGTCGGTATCGCACACCGCCTTACTCTGAACGCCCTTCTCCACATGGCTTAGTCACACATCGAGTATAAGGAGATAGAGGTCGCGAACACCGCCAAGGTGGGGCGCAACCACGAAGCCCCCAAAAGCGCGAGGCGTGAGGATACCCTGTCTGCTCCTTCTTGACGAAACGAGAAAAAAAAAGGGCGAAGACCGCCCCTAGGAGCAAAGGGCCCCAGCAGGCCGATTTACTGAGTACACGCTACTCACAGCTCCCCGCGAGCGCATCCTGCCCGAGTGTATCAATTCAGAGTTTCAACGGGGAGGTGTCCGATTTCCAAAACCAACGGCCCCTAAGCCCAACGCGGACAAGTCCAAGTACTGCCGGTTCCACTGGAGCCACGGACACGTGATAGAAGATTGCTTTTACCTCAAGGATGCAATCGAAATCTTAATCAAAGAAGGGCATCTGAAACAATACACTCCGAGAGGAAAAGCCCATCGGCCTGAGACCCGTGAGGCGAAGAAAGTCGAAGAGGCGTCAATCCCATCCGACGAAGTAGGACTGCAAGTGGCTCTATACGTCTCTCGACTAGAGGACTTCTCTTTCAGCGAGCCCTCCAGACCACTGACCGACCTCAGCCTGTGGGAGGACTTCCCGACCACAATGGTGATATCGGGTGGGGGACCCAGTCAGTTGTCGGTCGGGTCCGTCAAGAGAAAATTTGAGGAGCTCATCGACAAGAGCTCGAAGATGAACGCTACCCTCGACAAATTCAAAGGGAGGTCGAACCCCATCACCTTTTATCTCGAGGAGCTCCCCGGAGGGGCACCCAACGCCAGCATTCCCCTCCTGATCAAAGCGCAGATGGCAAATTTCGACGTCCGCTGAATCCTGGTCAACCAAGGAAGTTAGGTGGACATCATGTAC